CGTGACTATCCCGGGCAGGGGCTGGCCGTGCCGAGGGGGCCCCTCCGCGCCAGGGTCTGCCGGAGATGCGACAGCAGAGGGACCCCAGCCAGCGCCAGTCACAGCAGCAGCTGGGCCAAACACACTAGATCAATGCACGGTCGGGTGTGTCCCACCTCTGACCGCAGCCCCGGGCTAGTGCCCAGGGTCTGCCGGAGATGCGACAGCAGAGGGACCCCAGCCAGCGCCAGTCACAGCAGCAGCTGGGCCAAACACACTAGATCAATGCACGGTCGGGTGTGTCCCACCTCTGACCGCAGCCCCGGGCTAGTGCCAAGGGATGGAAACGGGCCCCCCGGAGACCCACTGGCTCGATTCAGCAGTGCCCCTCCCAGCCCCCTTCGCAGGCTTCCTGCTCTGGATGGGCTGCGGGAAAGGAGCGGGAGGAGAGGAGACCTTCCGCATCAGGCGTGGGGTAGACGCGGACACCTCACTGCTCTGCCACCCTGCAGACCAGGCCATGGGCTACCGACCTTTTATCTCTAGCTGGTGGCTGAAGAGTCACCCAGCAGTGACCTGAGGGGTGGCCTGTGGGAAATGGATTTGGTGGCCTCAGTCCAGCCGTAGTGGACAGGGTCAGGCCCACCCCAGAGGGCCCATTCAGAGGAATGGCTCTGCAGGCGGTAACGAGAGCAGGGGGAGGGGGAGGGATAAACTCCCTTGTGCATTTCCTGCTTGGTCTGCTTCACGCAGAGCAGCCGAGTTCCCGGGCAGGCGGAGCAGGCTGCAGAGAGGCAGTGACCCGTTACAGCCGACTGAGCCGTCCCTGTCGTCTGGGCTGTGGCTGCAGACGGACGGACAAGGCCTCTCCGTGAGCCTATGGCGGTAAGGGGGGCCACGGGGCCGGTACCTGTATATAACACTGTCCACGGAGAAGGTGAATCCATCAAAGGAGTTTGCCACCACCAGATAATAATCTTCTCCCACGGAGAAGAACTCCCAGTCCAGGGCGCTGGGGTATGGAGCAAGCACATAGACTGGGCTCTTAGCAGACCTTGAGGGGTAAATTGGAGCTAAATAACAGCCCAGAACCCTGAGAGCCAGGCCTGGGGGCTGTAACAAACTTTATGGGGCCGCAGGAAACTTGGCCACACCCATGATAAGTGGACATCCGGCTAACTCACATCATACCAGACTATGGGTGTTGCCGGACTAGAGAGGTTCAACCTGTATTATGTGACTCCCCGGGTTAAATTCTCTGCCCTCTGCTACACAGGGATCATGGTCCCTTCTGGAGTGGGACAGCTCTGAGTGGCCGACTCTGGGATCACTGGAAAAGCCCTGGCATTGGGAACTCTGGGGCCACATACGGCCGTTTGTCCCCCGAAAAGCGAGTTGGTACCTGTAGGTGAGGAGATCCTGAAACTTGACAAACATCTGCGCCGGGACGTGCAGCTCGTAGATGGAGGAGTTGATGGCGTAGGAGTTGTTCGGCACTTCGGCTCCACTGCCGTAACGGTGACTGTTGGCCACAGCCAGGAAGAGTCGGTCTCCAATGCGAAAGACCTCCCAGTCGGCAGCACCGAAAGTCTAGGGCGAAATGAAAGGCTGAAGATGGGGGACTGCTCTCGATTGTAGCCTGGCGTTCTCCCAACCCAAGCAGGCAAACGGGGGCCAGGCCAAATGACAGCTGCACTCCCGTAGTTAGCAATTGCTGTCACCCGGGGAGGGTGTGCCTAGCGGTGTCCTGCATCTAGAGCTAGTCCATGTTTTCATGAATGACTCGGATGAGGGAGGGGCAAGCGGGTTTCTAAAATCCGCAGGTGACCCTGAGCTGGGAGGGGTTGCAAGCTCTGGGGGGGCGTCCCAGCCCAGTCCCTGGAACGGCTCCATGGAAAAGGGAAGGGAAAGGCGACAGCCACCGCCGCTTACCAGGATGGACTGAAAGAGCTGGAAGGAGCCCCCGAGCCGGAGGTAGATGTGGGAGTCGATCTGGGTAGAGGTGCCGTTGAATGTGTTGGCCACCACCAGGAACGCGTAGGGGCCGGCGGTGAAAAACTCCCAGTCGTAGGCTCCGGAGGTAGGGATGGTCTGGTTGGCCTCGAAAAGCCTGCGCCTGGGGGGGAAGGGCCGCCAGCCGCCGCCGCTTACCAGGATGGACTGAAAGAGCTGGAAGGAGCCCCCGAGCCAGAGGTAGATGTGGGAGTCGATCTGGGTAGAGGTGCCGTTGAATGTGTTGGCCACCACCAGGAACGCGTAGGGGCCGGCGGTGAAAAACTCCCAGTCGTAGGCTCCGGAGGTAGGGATGGTCTGGTTGGCCTCGAAAAGCCTGCGCCTGGGGTTCCACCGGTAGATGACGCTGTTGATGTTGTGATTGTCCCCTGGGGGCGACAGGAGAGGAGGAGGCAAGACAGACAGACTGCGGCCGGGGGAAGCGGCAGGACAGCGACTGGGGAAGGAGCAGATGAAATATCTGAATGGGGGGCGTGTGGGGAGCAGCTAAACTGCACCTGGGGATTCTGCCCAGGAAGCAAACAGACACGGGCTGCCAGTTCAGTCGAACAGGCATCCCTGGGCCACACCCCCCCCGGCTGCCGGAATAGCTCCCGTGGCTGCCCAAGCGTGGGAGTCATTCCAGCCTGCCGCGAGGACCCAGTGTGATGGGTACTGGTGCAGGTACCAGCACTTCAACTGCTCTGGAAAATCACAACCATCCGCACATGCAGGCCCCTCACAATTATGTCGTCCATTGCAAAATCGCGTCAATTTCACCAAGGGAACGAGACGGAAATAGTTCCCGTAATCCATGGGCATTTTCACACTGAAACATTTTCACCTTTTCCATTGGAAATGGCTTTTTGCGGCACATTTGTATGTTCGATTATCTGATTGATTCGTAGGCAAAATAGACGTTGATCCTTTCGACTTCAGCGAACCCAGGCCTTCATTCGACCCGCCTTGCTGCCCCACGTTTTCTTTCATGGAGAACTTTGACACGGGGAGGAGTTTCTTACGACTCGAACTGAAGCCAAATTCTGAATTCTCGACCCTCTCCATGAAATGGAATTTCTGTTCTCCGTGGATGTCATATAAGGACTCTCCCCTCCTCTGGGCTAGGACATCAGCACAGACTGTCCCTTCTCTGGAGAGCGCTACCTGGTTTCCAAATCTTTTGCTTGATTTATAAAGAGGAGACAGAAATAAATCTTTCCACTTTCTATTTGCAGCAGTGCCGTGATTCACACCTCCGTGTACACCTCTATTTTTATAGACTTTAAAATCCCTCATTTTGGAGCAGTAGAAAATTTGGCTATTCTGGTTATTTACTACAGAAGCATAACGAAAGGGGGTGACAGACAGAAATAGATCAGGGGGTTTCAAATATGGACACGGGCATCTCTCAGGCTTGAGCAGGGGAAATCAGATTTAAAATCAAGCCCAGATGCCTTTCCAATAGATACTGTAGCTCAGCCACAAGATACGGGCTGGGTGTCAAATCACAGGGTACATCTAAACTACATGGCTCCGTCGCCGGAGCCTTACAATCTGTGACTGTATTAACTATTTCCGCCCCGCCCCCGTTAACAAGCCCTGCTCTTTGCTCTGTGCCTGTGCTGCTAACAATATGCTTCTCAGACGGACTCCGCTGGTTTCATGAAGCCGATGAAACCAAGGGCAAGTCGCTCATTTCGCTTTATCTGCAAAACCTTTGCCAAAGCTCCGAGTCTTGCTTGCCATCCTTTGGGGCTCCATTATTTGGACACATTGTGGTTTTAGACTAACATTCCCTCTGGAAGAAAAGACAGGACTGTGCAGAACTTTTGTCTTTTGTTTCAGCAAGACCAGACTAACACGGCTACATCTCTATTACTATTCCCCTCTGGGTGGCAGCACACTGCAACTTCATTGCTAGCCTCAGTGTGTGGAAAGCGTGAAAATTTAAGGGTATGTCTACATTACAAAGTTAGTTCGAACTAACTTTCATAGGCGCTACACTAGCGCTCCGTTAGTTCGAATTTAATTCGAACTAACGGAGCGCTTAGTTCGAACTAGGTAATCCTCATTCCACGAGGATTAAGCCTAGTTCGAATTTACTAATACATTACAAAGTTAGTTCGAACTAACTTTCATAGGCGCTACACTAGCGCTCCGTTAGTTTGAATTTAATTCGAACTAACGGAGCACTTAGTTCGAACTAGGTAATCCTCATTCCACGAGGACTAAGCCTAGTTCGAACTTGCTAGTTCGAATTAAGGGCTGTGTAGCCCCTTAATTCGAACTAGTGGGAGGCTAGCCCTCCCCAGCTTTCCCTGGTGGCCACTCTGG